CCTAAAAATATGTTAGCCATTATGCTTATGTTGTTAAACAAATTAATCAGCATTTGTCATGCATCAATATCCTTTTCCATGAACAGTTTGTTCTTTATTTTCTGGAATCCGAGTACTTGTTAAACGTGGAGTTTGTGTTTGAATGTATGATTGTTAGTTCACAACAGTGTCTGCATAAACATAGTTTAGGCATAAGAAATGTTGCTCTCCCTGCCACTCACTGTACTGTGTGCACAGTGTGACTGTAAGCCTCAGGGTAAAAGAGACACGCCTTGAACAGAAGCATTCCTGATCTATATTTAGTTGATTTATATTAATAATAATAACGGTAATGAACAAGGTCACATTGTGCTGTAGTCTGTTTTTCAACGTTGGCAACAAAACACACACAAAATAAATAAGTCTTTTAAACATGTTTGGATCATGTGCAACTTCCTTACAGTTTTGTTTTTCTGAGCAAATTCTAAGTTTGTTTGTTGTTGGTTTTTTTGGGGGTTTTTTTAATGGCCGCCATACTTGTGGAAATAGAGTTGTGCGCATGAGTGCTTGTAGGTTTCTGTAATCGTATCTGTGTCTTCCAGGCTGAAACAGTTGCTGTTGTTTCGGTTAGATGGGGTTTCCTGCACCTGTGATGGCAGCTAGTCTGTAGGAAGCACTGCAGGACATCTGTAGTGGTTAACATGTAGTCTGAGTTCACGAGTCATTGAGTTCGTTGTTGTTGCCGTGTGCAGCTGCTGACAACACGTTCTCCTAAGCAGTGGCATGCAGCTCTTATTGACACCTCACCATCAGTGACCTGTGTGCCGCTGTCTCCATGCCAACTCCCAACACGTTATTAAAGTGTGTCAAGGATTGAGTGGGCAGGCGGCTCAGAAGTTTGATGAAACAGACATTACTAATATATCACATACTATCCGTATAATGTTCTGCAAACACGTATCATTGCGTTTTCTTTCCCTGATGGAAACCACAAGAACAAATCTGTAAGTGCAGGTCAGAGTTCAGTTTGGCCAAAACGTTTGCCGCTAAAAGAAGCTGGCCTGTCAAACAGAGGAAGTAATATCTCTGTGGTTTTGTCTTGTTCCCCAACTTTTCTGAATGCTTGTTTTCCTTGTGACTAAAACCTTGTGATTTAGTTGTAAAGTGTTTGAGTTCTACTGAAACGTAATCCTTGTCTTAAAGGAAACTCTTTCCTGCCTGAAGTCTGATTATTTGATTTTAATGAAACAAGCTACCTGAGTTCCGATTCGGGTGTGGGTCTGAATTGCCTGATTCTACTTTTGTATAATTATTTGTAGGCAGGGATTACTGATTACAGGCCTGGATTTGTTCATTAAACTTCAGCTTGCGTTTGTGCTTTTGTCTACGACAGTTTAACTTCACCCCTTCCCAGACGAGCAGACCAAAACAAGTCCATTGGTCATCAGTGTGACTAATGTCACAGCCTAACAATGTTGAATCACCTCCAGTGAATAGTCTGTGTGTGCCTGTGGCTGTGTGTGCAGCCATGAAAGACAGTAGCGCTAAGCTGCTTAGCTGGTGTGAGGTCTTTTGCTGGTGGTGCACGGCCCTGGTTGTGTGCCAATGATTTTTCTGCTGGCAAGTGGTAGTCACTGTTTTTGTGGACATCCAAAGGCTTAGACTGATCAGATAAATCCATGGCTGTGTGACTGGCACAAAGTTCTGTGTCTGAAGAGTCATTGACTATTTGTTAGACAATTATTCACGCACTCGCACGACTCAAAACTCTGATAATATTTGGTTCCCTCATAAGACTAATCCATTGCAAACATCTGACTTTTTAGGCACTCGGTGTCAAAACCGAACTACGCTGAAGCTAAGAATAGATTTGTGCCACACAGTTGTGTAATGGTCTAAAACCTTCCTATGTGCTAAGGCATTTAAGGTCTATTAATGCAGTCTGTCCCAAATTAGGGATGAACTATTTGATGTGATTCCACAAGGTTACAAAACAGAAGCTTTCAAAAGATACCAAAAGCACTGCCTACAAACAAATTTGTGCAGAAAAATATTTTTGTCTTCCTTTTCATGTGAGCTGCTTCTATTTTATATAACTCTAGGCAGAAAACTGACTTTTACAATTCATACAACATGCAGCCTCAAACCACTAAAACCAAAATTCTCTTGGTAAATTTTCAGCCAGCATGCTTTATGTCTGTCTTTGCACAACTTTGCTTACTGTCTCTGCTTTTATACATAAAGTTTCCTTTTCTCATGTTAGTTTTGCTAGTTGTTGTTGTTGTTGTTGTTGTTCTCAAAGCCAGTTTTTACAATGACAAATAACTCAACTCTCTGTGTTGACTTCATTAATATTTTCTCTCCATTTCAGTCATTAACATCAGTATGGGTTCTCTTCTTACTTAGACTAAGTGGAATTTGTTGAACCAGCGTG